TTGATGTTTGAAGGAAGATTATATGTACCAAAGGATGAATGGATAAGAAAGGAAATATTAGAAGAAGCTCATTATGCCCCGTATGCTACACATCCCAGTGGAACTAAAATGTATCGAGATCTTCGCGATACCTTTTGGTGGTGGAATATGAAAAGGGGGATTGGACTCTTTATTGAGAAGTGTATTATATGTCAGCAAGTTAAAGCAGAACATCAAAGGCTATTAGGACTATTAAATCCATTAGAAATTTCATAGTGGAAATGGGAGCAAATAGCCATGGATTTCATGGTAGGTTTTTCGAAGTCAACAAAAGGACACGATGCCATCTGGGTAATTGTGGACAAGTTGACAAAGTCAGCTCATTTTCTTCCAGTACGAATGGACTATAGTATGGATCAATTTGCTCAATTATATGTTAAAGAAATTGTCAGGCTGCATGGAATTCCAACATCCATCATCTCAGATCGAAACCTAAGATTTACTTCTAAATTTTGGAAGAGCATGCAGGGAGCTATGGGGACAAAGTTAAATTTTAGCACTGCCTATCATCCTCAATTTGATAGACAGTCTGAAAGAACTATTCAAATCTTAGAAGACATGCTCCAAGCATGTGTCTTGGATGTGGGAGGTAGTTGGGAGTCATGCCTATCATTAGTGGAGTTTGCATAAGATAATAGCTTTCAGAGTACAATCGATATGGCTCCTTATGAAGCTCTCTATGGTAGAAAATGTAGATTCCCAGCTCATTGGGAAAAAGTCGGAGAAAAATGAATTTTGGGCCCAGAAATTATTGCAAAGACAGTGCAATCAATTGATAAAATTAGGGACAAAATAAAATATACTCAAGATAGACAGAAAAGCTACGGAGAAAATCGATAGAATTTGAAGTCGGTGAGAAAGTGTTTCTAAAAGTGGCCCCAATAAAATGAGTTCTTAGATTTGGCAAGAAGAGAAAGTTGAGACCTCGATTCACATGCCCTTTTGAAATTCTAGACAGAATTGGGAAGTAGCATATCGTCTAGCATTGCCACCTAGACTATCGGCAATACATAATGTTTTCCACGTGTCGATACTTAGAAAGTATGTGCATGATCTCGAGCATGTGATAAGCTATGATTCATTGAAAGTACAGAAAGATCTAATGTATGAAGAGGCTCCTTTGGAGATTATCGAAAGGAAAATACATGCATTCAGGAATAAAGAAATTGCCTTGGTTAATGTTAGATGGAAAAATTATGGAATCGAAGAGGCTACTTGGGAGAAAGAAGAGGAAATAAGAGCCAAGTATCCACAACTTTTGGACTAAATAAGGTAATTTTAAGGGTGAAATTATTCTAAGGGGTTAGGGATGTAACATCCCGAATTTTAAATCTTATTCCATATGGACTAAATTGAATTTGGTGATTTAGTAAATAAAATAGTCCATGTTGAACCTTGTCGTCAAATTAAGGTCCAAAAGTTAAAGTGATACACGCGACTCACTTAATTGCATAAATTATTTATTTTGTTTATGTGTAGAATTTATTATGAGTTATTTGTGTCGAATATTTAAGTATTTTAAAAGTTATTAAAAATATATCGTTATTATACTTATTTTGTAACTCGTACTTAATAACATAATTCGCTCAAGAAGAAATAATTTTGGACTAACCATAATCGAGTTATATTGATAAAAATAAAACATTCTAAAACATATATTTTATTATAAAAATATATATATACAAACAAAAAATATATATAAATAAATGAAAGAAACATGACAATTTTTTAGGAAGTTGAAACAGTACACATACATTCAATTGTGTACTAAATAATTAATTATTATTATTATTTTTTTTAATTCCAAAAATTGACGTGATTGATTTACAGATTTAATTCTTATTACGTTTGAAATTGATTTGAAATAAAAATTATATTAATTGACTAGACTTAACCTTTCATAGTGTGTGTATATATATATATATATATTATATTTCCTTTACCATACATAAGATTTCCTCATATTAAAGCATACACTTGTCGAAAAAAGAAAGAAAGAGAGAGTGTGTTATTTTATCTATCAGCCACAATCAAAATTTCACAAGTTGGGTCTCATTTTCCTACAAATATTTTGTCTTTTTTTTTCTCTCTCTCTCTCTCTCTCAAAGGAATATTTCAGAATTTTTGATAACATTTAAGGTAAGAAATGTGCAAGTGGTTAATTCTTATTTTCTTGATATTTTTATAATTTTGGCATGAATTACGTTAAGCCCTTCGGGTCGATTTTTATGTTAAATCCTACGAGATGGATTGTTTGGTCGAGTATGTAAATCCTATGGGATATAGGAATTCTTATGAAATTCCTTGAGCTATTGGATGTCGCGATCAGTTTGCTCTAAATCTAAGAAATGTTGATATGCCATGTCATTCTATATTTATATTATGTTAATAAGAATATGCATATTTTTCTTATTGGATATTTTTTTAAAAAAATACTCACTTTTACAATAACCTTTCAGATTAGTACGAGTCGTGTGGATGTGTGCCAGATTGACTGAGCGGTGTTTATGGGGACAACAAGTAAAGATTTAAAAGAATGATTATTGTCAAATTTTCGTTTTTAGGACATCTTATATTTTATTATGTGCACGTTATTTTTAGTACTTTTGTGCTCATACTTTGGACATCTTATGTTAAAATTTTGAGTTCTTTTTTTTTTTTTTTAATTTGTAGTTGATTGATATGTTGATTTGCACGGAAAATTTATTTAAATTGTTTTATTATCTTTATTAATTTATCGATCAAATCAAGTAAATAAAAAAAATAAAAGAGTGATGTAATATTTCAAGTCTATCTTTTTTTTATATAGATATAAAAGAGTGATGGACTTGGGACGTATCCATCTGATGTAACTCAAGGTCAAAGTGAAAAACAAGTGCCATAAATGTTTTGAAAGAGTTTTTCGTTGAAACTGGAGAAAAAGTCTCTTTGAAATCATTGCCTTCCTTTTAGGTAAAGCCTTTAGCCACAAGACGAGCATTATATCTCTCCACATTACCATTTGAACCTCTCTTGGTTTTAAAAATTCATTTACAACCAATGGGCTTCACACCTTCAGGTAACGGGACAAGATCCCAAATTTTATTGTCTTGCATAGACTTGTACTTCTCATTCATGGCATCAATCTACTTTTGAGAGTTAGAACCCTGCATGGCCTGATGGAAATTGATTGGATCATCTTCCACTATTCTATTATTTTCCTCATTTTCTTGGAGAAATACTACAAAATCATCCGGAATAGCATTTCTCCTCTCTCTCGTGGATCTCCTTAATGGCATTGGTTCTTGAGGTCGTTAAGTTTGTACTTCTGGATTAGTTACCTCATTTTGAATGGGAGGTTCTTCAACATTATCTCATTGAGATTTTAGATATGCTTCTTTATCAACGACAGATATAGAAACATGTACATTGTCAAAAATAATAGTAGGAATCGAAATTGATCATTCCTCAAGTTCTTCCTCAAAGACAATGTCTCTAACTTTATTTCTCCCTTCCAAACTCAACATTCTCAAAAAACGTTGCAGTTTTCGTTTCGAAAATTGACTTAAGTGTGGGATCATAAAATTTATAACCCCTAGATCCCTCAGAGTAAGCAATAAAATAATTGCTAACAATTTTGGAGTCCAATTTCTTTTTCATGTAGCCTATAAGGCTTCACCTCAGCTGGACATCCCTAAATGTAAAAATGATTTAGGCTAGGTTTTCTGCCTGTCCAAAGCTCATAAGGTGTTTTAGCAGTAGCCTTAGTTGGTGCTCTACTCAGAATATAAGCTGCAATCTTTAATGCCTCTCCCCAAAGTGATTTTGGCAAGGTAGAATGACTTATCATACTCCTTACCATGTCCTTAAAAGTTCTGTTTGGTCTTTTAGCCACACCATTCATGCTAGACGATCCTGGCATAGTGTACTTGTGGGACGATTCTACACTCTTCTAAGTATTTCGCAAATGGTCCTGGACATTGTTCACCTGAACTATCATATCTGCCATATTACTCACTATCACGGTCAAACTTAACGCTTTTTATCCTTTTGTTGAGTTGATTCTCAACGTCAGCTTTAAAAGTTTTGAACACGTCCAATGACTCAGACTTTTCATGGATGAGATATAGGTATCCATAAAGTGAGTAATCGTCTATGAATGATATAAAATATTGTTGACCATTCCAAGAAGTCGTAGAAAATGGCCCACAAATATCTGTGTGTATCAATTCTAAGACGTCTGAAGATCTGTTAGCACCCAATCTCCTTGTTTTGGTTTGTTTTCCCTTGATACAATCAATACATACATCAAAATCTGTAAAGTCAAAGGAATCTAAAATATCATCTGACACAAATCGCTCAATTCTAACTTTTGAGATGTGACCTAAGCGCTTGTACCATAATTTTGCTGAATTTTCTTTATTTAATTTGCGTTTAGTACCTCGTGATTCAACATGAAAGGTTTCATTGTATGATACAACTATATCAAGCAAATATAGGTTATCATATGCACATAATGAACTAATACCAATAATATTGAAATTTAATGAAAGACTAAACTGATCGTTTCCAAATGAACAACAATATCCAAATTTGTCCAACAAGAAAACAAAAATAAAATTCCGTCTAAAAGATGACACAACAAAAGTGTCTTCTAAATCCAAATAATAAACAGTTCCCAATAATAACCTAAAAGTGCCTATTGCATCAACTTCCACCGATTTGCCATTACACACATAGATGTATCTTTCACCATCGCTTGGTTTTCGGTGGCTCAGGCAACCCTGCATAGAAACACTTATGTGAGTAGTAGCACCAAAATCCATCCACCAAGTGTTTCTAGGTACTGAAGCTAAATTATTCTCAGAACAGACCAAAGTAAGAATTGTACCTTTCTTTGCACGCCATGCGTAATATTTGGCACAGTCCTTCTTCATATGTCCAACCTTATTGCAAAAGAAACAACTTCCTTTATCTTCCTTCTATTTCTTTTGTGCTGGACCCTTAGGAACAGCTTCATATTCCTTCATCTTTTTCTTGCCGTTATCCTTAGAAGTGCTTGCCAAGTGAGCAACTTCAGTTTTATCTTGCTTTAACCTTTCTTCCTCTTGCAAAAAATATGAAATGAGCTCATTTAGAGACCATTTCTCCTTCTAGCAGTTATAACTGACCTTAAATTGACTAAACTGTGCAGGAAGCGAGATCAATACCAGATGCACGAGCAAGTCATCTAACAGCTTAAGCTTTAGTCCTTTAAGTTTTGAAGTAATGTGAGACATTTCTATGATGTACTCCCTTATGTTCCCCTTGCCTTTATACTTCTTTGAAATCAAGCTTTGCAAAAGCATGCTTATTTCAGCCTTATCGTTTTTCCCAAAACGTTTCTCAATTTCGGCAAGGAACTTCTTAGCATTAGTTATCTCTTCGGATATTGCACCCCTAAAGTCTTCTGGAATGCCGCGCTTAATAATCATTAGACTCATGTGATTTGAGCAATCCCACTTCACAAAGTTTATCATTTCATCAGGAGAACTTTCTTCTGTAAGAGGAGTTGGTTGCTCAATTTGAAGTGTAAGGTCAAGATCCATGTAGCCAAGAACAATCAATACGTTCTCCTTCCAATCCTTGAAGTTTGTCCCATGAAGCATGGAAATGAAATTGATATTAGCAGATATTGTGGTAGCAGATGAATTAGCTGTCTCATATTCATATTAAATGAACAATAAATTCAAATATTGGTAAGTCCAATCTCAAGATACCTAGTGCAACGTTAATACCAAGTCTTTGGACAGTAATATTAATTGCTAGTGGTACTTTCAATATAGTGATCAAACATTGACAATAACTCCTTTCGAATAATGAAACCATCTTTGGATTGATTTATTATTCATATAAAAACCTGATAATTGTCAGACATTTACCATCGTAGGTGTGTATGTAATTCAGCCAAGTATTAATCTCCCTTTGAGCCGGTTAATACCCGCATGAAGAAGCACACACACGACATCTAAACATCCCAAATAAACCAATCTACACAAGAGAGGTCACTTTGGTGACATATTGTTTCAATTAGTTTATTCAAAATGTTAGATAACCATAATTCATTATAAATGATTTACCAAATTATTTGAATTTGATTGTCTCACATAATTAAACCCTAAATATTCCTCTTAAAAGAGTCCTTAGTACCTTAATTTGAGAAAGAGAATCATTAATTTTGCATGATTAGATGCCTTTAGAAACTTTAGGGACCTAAGGGTTAATAATTCAAAACTTTAGGGATCAAATTTTAAAATTTTGGGGGCTAATATTAATTAATTATAAACATTGAGGGCTTTAATTGTGAATTTTAGAACTTTAATGGCCCAAATTAAATAATTTTCAAAATTTAGGGACTGAATTATTAAACTCATAACCTTAAAGGTCCAATTTCGATGGATCAGAAACATTAGGGACTGAAATGTAAATTTTTATTTTGAAAAAAATTATTAACCCTAATTTTAAATTACAAGCAAGAGCCTGGGAATACCAAAATTGCACCTCAAGCCGCCATCCCCAAAATCCATCTCTTGCTCTATTTCTCTCTCAAACCGATGGCGCCGACGATCGACGTCGCTTGCAGCAGCAACGCCGGCTATGCCGGCGCTAACCAGCAGCAGCGTGGTCTATTGCAAAACGAAGCAATAAGCTGCAATCGTCGATGGCACACCCGTCGTCGACCAGATCCAAAAAGATAGTAACAATTTTTTTTTTTTAAAATCGATTTCAGACAACTTTAACCCAGATTTTGATCGAGAAAACCGAATTATCCAAAAATTTTCTTCTAGATCTCGAACAATAATCATGAACAATATACGAAACAATGCTCTTGATTCAACAAATGACACATCTGGAAGAATAACAAAAAATAATATCCCAAACAACTTTCAAATTCAACAGAAGTATATTCAATGTTGTCAAATTTGAAAATTCTTAAACAAATATTTCATCCAAAAAATTAATCCATAATATAAAAAACTGTAGTAAATTGAAACGAACCAGATTCTTGAATCTCCATGTTGAAATCAATGAAAAAACAAAATGAATACGAAAGCGTACATTGATCCATATATCTGAGTTTTTTGAAATCAATTATGATCTTCTAACTGCTGCGTGATTTCTTGAAATTCGTTCTCTGTTGATGGGGATGCAAAGAATTATGAAAGTCACGTGTAATTGGGGACCAAGACCCATATTAAATAATTAATTATTATCTTTCTTTTAATTATTTCAAATTGGTCCCTCAACAATTTAAAATAATTATTTCGATCTCCGCACTTTGATTCCATGAAAATTAATAATCATTAGTTCAAAATTAAATTTAATGAATCATCTTATTGATTAAACCTTAAAGAGAGCATCATACATTTTAATATATACGTGTGTGACCCCATATGATAGAATTTCTCCAACACTCAAAGCTAGCATATTCCTTGTTCCCATAAAGAAATGCCAAATGAAATATCATTTACACCTACAATTCGTATGAATATCTGAAAATAAAAAATGCATTGAATAAAAAAAAAAAAAAAAAAAAAGAGGAGAAAAAAAAAAAATTTAAAAAGGAAAACCAAAAAAAAAAAAAAAAAAAAAGCAGAGTAACGCACATCTTTGTCGGCTTCGAATCAGAATACTAGGAAAGCAAAAATAAAGCTCGGCTCCAGATAATCATCTCTTTCGCCTGTATATGCACACGTGTACGTGTGCATATTTGCGAAAGCCAGCCGCGGCCACACATATTAGGCTTTTCACAGAACCCTTGATTTCTCTTTTTCTCTCTACAGCACATCCATATTTTTTTCGATCTTCTTGTACAGACCTGTTGAATCAACTTCGGGTCAGTGTTTGAGGTAAGTTGACTCAAAGGAAATATTTACAACATCATTTTCTGTGTTTTTTTATTATTTTATTATTTTAAGTTTCTGTTTTGGCTTTTTTATAACGCAGAGTGTGGATATTTACTTCTTGAATTATGTAATAGTTCCTGGAGTAGCTGTATGTGATTTAGTCGGAAATCTACGTTTGTTTTAAGGAGGAATTTCTGGTCAGATTTTTAATTTTATTTTTCATTTATGAAAGGAAATAAAACCCGCGTTAAATCACCTGGTTTAAAAGTTTAGGTTTAGAAGTCTAAGTACGTTTAAGCTGAAGGAGAAGGTGCAAAATTTTGATAACTAGCTATGGACTAGATTTAAACAAAATACTTTGCCTGCTCTGGTAGTGCATCGAATCACCTAATGTAAAAGCTCATTGAAGAAGGTTGTTTGGGCACTGGGGGAAGTAATTAGTGAAGCCAAGACACTGAGTTTATGCATCTATTAGTATTGTCTAGGTTATCACACCTTCAACTGGGAAATGAATCTCGACTTCACGAGGTGGGGGTGGGGGTGCTGAAGGCAGTTGCTCAGACGTAGAAGGAGCCATTGAAGATGGTTTAAAGACGTGATCCTTTCTTCTTCAAGATGTTCTGCATTTGAAAACTATCATAACCGAAAACTAAACTTACTGCAAACTCTTTCTAATTCTATACAACGGAAAGCAGAATTCTCAACTATTTTCAAATCTAATGTATACTTGATGTTCTTAGTAACATGTAAGGTGAAAAATACATCTGATCTTATGCCTTACTTCATGTTCGGTAAGCTTAGAATTTACTTGAAAAATACGTCTGATCTTATGCCTTACTTCATGTTCGGTAAGCTTAAAAGTTACTTCAGTTTACTTTTGATTAACTTATTTCAGGAAATGTTTAGATATGTGGCTTTTACTTGCTCATAAAGTATGAATGTTCATGCTTCTTGGCGGTTGTCTAACTCCGAAATGTTAGTAATTTGCTAGGGAAATTGCAAAAAACTCCTAGCAAGTTAAGGATTCCAACTCATAATGTCTGATCATGTTTTGCAACCGTATAATGATCCTGAGGGTAAAAGTAGACAGTCGATGCAATCTTACCAATCTGTTTGGATGGCTCATTGGACGAGAACTAGCTTTAATGCAACAGCCGAACCTCATGATCACATATCCAATCATTTTGGAATCCAGGAAATTCATCAGGATTCTGAACATCATAACTCTATGACTGGATTAGAGATTGCATCCGACATCTCTAGGTCAGCCAATCAGAGTCTGAGAATGAGTTCTAACCACACGAGAAATGAAAGATCGGGATGTAAATATTTTGCATTGGAGGGTCCTTCGAGGAACAGAGGGAGCAGTTTTTCATCACAACATGGCCTAGAAGCCGATGATATGCCATCCTTAAGGCCTCAAATTGGTTACAACTTTGGTGGATCGACATCACATATTATGCCTTCTAGATTTGACCAAGAAAAACATGGATTTGACAACAGACAAAAGGCAGTCTCTTCCTTCTTGGATAGATCCATTCTAGTTTCCAACAAGCTATTGCCAAATGCTAACCTGCGAACACTAGAGCGACAACATTGTAATTCAGATTTTTTCCTTTCTGAGAGAAAAATGGATGGCCAATTAGACTCTGAGAAGTTTACAAGTTCATGTTCGAGGAAAGGCAATACATCCCTGTTACTCGACACTCCCTCCACGAGTGACAATCACTTGTCAGCATTTGGTAAAAACTGGTTCCACAAGATGCAGAATCATTCTGGAATCAAACTGTTAGAGAACAATTGCAGTGCTTCAGAGAAAGGTTTACAAAAGTTTCCATATAGAGTTCAAGATGTTGAGACAACGAGGATATGCAGTGCTGTGAATTCCATTGATGGAGTATCTCAGACGACTCACGGTTTGTTAACCGCAAAAAAGAATGATGTCAACACGTTTAAAGAACACGAGTTTTTCAGAAAGACTAGAGTGTTCACCAAATCTAACAGAAATATATCCAGTGATGTTCACAGCACTTATCCGTTTGTTAGTCAAAGTCAGCAAAGATTAAAACTTCAATCTCGAGGCAGTTCCACTGATAGTGAAGAGAAAAAGAATCTTGAAGATGTCAATACTTCTAAGGCTGTTACAATGCTTGAATCATCGGCTGAAACCGATACAATGGACATGGGTTTTTTTAAAGAGAAGAACAAGCTTTCTGGTACGTATAAACTCTGAATCACGAATTTACATGTTGATTTAAAAATTCTCAGGTAATCTCTTTTTTCCTAGGTAATACCTTTTGTGTATCTGAAAACATATTCTGCATATTTCACTAAGTTGTTTCTCTATCCACTTCTCCAGGTGTCAATTCTAATCCATCAGATAAGGTACTCTGACTAGTCTTCTTTTCTTCCCAATTATGTATCCGCTTGTTTACTTTTAAATTTTCTCTCATTTCTTCTATTTTAGTGTATATTTTATGATCATCTGTAATGAATTCTACAAAATGTCAGATCCTAAATGTGTTGAACATCGTTTGCTTCATAATGAACCATGTATTTTTGTATGGCCATTGTCAATTGTTTATGCATAATGTTATATTGAGGAAATTATGATCTAGCTTTTTTCAACACAAATAAGAAGGCATCGGTTTTTTCATACGGAGCAAACCACGTACAGTAAGCTTGAAATGGCATGACATGGTCAAGGCTTCCTATCATTGAAGGTTCTAATGAATTTTAGTCATTAAAGTAAAATGCAATTATGATGATTTTTGTGTACAACCTGGTTGCTTCAAATTTTGTTTTATTTTTCAACTTAGCTGTTTGATGTAGATCTATTTAGAAAAGATTTTATGAAAAGTGATTTTTTTTTTTTTTAATATAGTGATTAAAAAAGTAGGAAAAAGTTACGTGCAAAATTATTTTATTGAGAAAATATGTGGTTGAAAATGAATTCTAAAGAATCTACACCAAATGGGGGCTTAGTGAGAGTACATGGAGAGTTTATCCAGATTCTGTAAAAGTTAAAATTGGTATTAGGGTCTTTGTATTTCTGCAGCCAGACTTCCACGTGATTAAAGTTATTGTTCAGAGTACTGAAACCTGTTATTGATAATTATTAGAGCATGTTTGGTTAAGTATAAAAGTTACTTTTAAGCAACTTCTTGCCAAACATGTTGGAGGATTTTTTGAAATAATATTTTCTATATGTTTTTTTACCAGATCAGCAATATGCTTTTTTTCGATTGGCATCCACTTTATACAAGTCATGATCATTTGAGATGTTGTAGGTCATCAACATAGACTCGAATTTACCACCTCGGTTTAATGTTGCTTCGTGCAAAGAAGTACGGCGGAAAACTGAGTTGCCTGATATAAACTTAGAGCTTCCAGCCTTGCCAGCTGCAGCGAGTTCGTCCAATGATGCAGGGCCAAGCTCTTCGAGGACTCAAAGTTTAGATATGGACCTGCTTTTGGCGCATGCTGAGCAGCCTAGTACTTCAAAACACGTTATCTCATCGGATGATTCTCTGAAAACAGATCCATCGACCAGATGGGTTAAACGTCTCAAGGCGAGTGCTTCGGATTCCTATGCTCATGGCACGAAGAGCTCGGATTTTGGCAAAAACCCATCTCATGAAAAAGTGAAAAGGCTCTTCGGTAGAATTCTTACAGATAGCATAACTAGCTCAGAACCTGTAGTGGATGAACATTCTGAGAAATTATTGACTTTGCCAGATAAGATTGGAGACTTACCAAGAAAAGACGAGTCCTCTTTCATGGACCTGTCAAAGGAAGGTAAAAAACTTTTGCTCTCACATTCTTGGATAAAAAGGTGGCTACACAAAGGATCCAGGAGTCCTCAAAAGAAGCCCGAGGCAGTGGTGATTTGTGAACCACTACGTTCCAAGTTGTCATCGGAGGACCTTCAAAAGAAGCAATTTCCGAGTGTTGCTGCTATGGCCCTGATGGGGAAAGCTATGAACGGTTTTGAACCATGCGAGCTCCAAAAGAGGGGTTCTTCTGTCACCTGGAACACTAGAGCTTTCTGAAAGTACTTCATGTTTGGTACACGTTATTCGATAGTATGATTGGATTGTATAATAAACGAAATTTTTGCTTCTTTTTTCTTTCTTAAGTGTGCCTAGTATTGTCAAATTCTCCCTACATTTTGCATTTGATGTCACGTTGCAAAGTCTTCTCAGCTGATGATGTTTACCCTGTTGGTGCTTAAGATTCAAGCGACAAACTCTTCTCATTGAACAGATGAGAGTATTTTTCAAAATCTATATGATGGCTTGTAGTGGCAAGCTCGGATTCATGCCTCTCGTCCCAATATCAAAATGAAGATTTGCACGGACTAAATTAACTCGATAATCATTCTTTTTTCCAGCTTGGGAAAGAAAGAAGAATTGGAGATCAGTACTTGACCGCACTACTTAGATGACTTAGCAACTCTTTAACATCCAGTAATTGTCTTAAAAAACTATCCGTATCTTTCTTCAGTCTTGTGCATGTAATGAATCTCTTCCCTTGTGCAAGGCAATCAATCTCATGCTCAAATACTAGCTCCATATGTTTTCTCTAAATTTATGTCACGGGTAAGATATGATTGTTCAATGCAGTCCAATTCCTGTTTGTTTTGGTGTGAATATAATAGCATAAATGAGTGATTTTATTCCGATTCAACAGAATTTTATACAGAAGAAATCAGAAAACCCAGTTTATGTATTCAAGAACAAAAATTTTGGTGCCCTGTATCTAATGTGATGCATCAACTGATCAGCAATTTGGATAAGCTAATCCGAGTGCGATTCGAGTTCATGCAAGTGGCTTGGCAAGCCAAAAAAACAAATAGATTAAATCAGTAGCTTCCTATAGTTAAAACATGTTCGTTCACATTTCAACAGATGTTCTATTCAGAAACTTTCACAAGCCCACGACCATTTTTAGATAACCAGAACATTGATGAAATTATTGGAAGAAAAACTGCCAACGAAGTTTAGTCAATAATCAATAGGTAAAAGTGACAAACTCAGCAACTTGATTGGAATGCTAATATCTTGCACTCGTAATATTTAAGATCAAGGAAATGCAATGCAAGTCTCAACAACAAAATTTGTATCGAACTCTCTTACGCAAAAAAATGGAACACCTAAGTGTTGGTTGCCCTAGTATATATCTGTTGGCTTGAATGAGCTGACACCATTCTGATCAAACCTCTAGCCATCAATTCTCTGATTGTCTTCCTTGCAAGTGATCCACTAATCTGTAATGTTACATCAAGAAATTAAATTAGGAGTAGAAAATACAATGAGGATAGATATTTAGGTGCATGTGAATAAATTTATTTACAAATTTTATTTTATTTTAAATGATGTAGATATGAATGAAAGCTAAGAAATGATCAAGTCAACAGATCTCAAAAATATTCAGCTAACACTAGACATATACAAATATAGTAAAATCAATTAAATTCAATAAAACTGAATAAAGAATAACAACTTGCGATGGCACACAGTTGAAATGGAAATATGCATTACATGCTTAACACCTAATAGAACCCAGCTCCAAAACCTACAAATCTACCTAGCTTACTTGGTCCATTTGGTACTAATTCTTTAAAACTCATTTTTCGTCAATCATTTTCAACCACATCGTCTCTGAGTTCTCTCAATGAAATAATTTTGCATGTAGACTTATAACTTTTTCCTACTTTTTAATCGCACATTCCTCAAAAGAATTATTTTTCACTAAATATACATCAAACAGGCCCTTGATCTTCCCTTAAATGTACAAATCAAGGTAAGAGCAAAAAAATATAACACTAGAAGTACAAGTACATCTGCAATAAGCATAACTATCCACTGAGCGCAGGCAGAAAAAGTTACTGCCCCCTATTTATTTTCCGATTCTTGTTAAACAGGCAGATAAATTAGCATTTTATCCTTCTGCCGCAATCGCATCAATTTATCCACAGTATCAATCAGAACTTATTTCATTTAAAACCAGCAAATACAAAATATATGATCCCTTCTGAGAGGGACACAAATTGTAGCCAGCGTGTATATACTATAAAAAATCCACTCAATTTATACAATCATGCTACTGTATTTCTGGATTTGACAATACAGCAACTACTTATAAACATGGATCCACGGGAATGACAACTGCATAAATTATAATTACAAAAAGATCCATCCATTAATTACCCTTAGACGATCGGATAGTACAGAAGGGGTGATGAGCTTGTATTTGGGAGCTTCAGAGAGCAGCTTGTCGTACGTCGCCTTATCGAAAAGCACCATATTATTTACCTTCTCTTTTTGCTTTCCCTTGCTCCACTTCTGCTCATTTACATACAAAGCAACACATAAGAGCAACATTGTATCTACCTATGTGAATAAATATATCTACATCTATGCATACAAAAAACAAGTAATAAATCGTGCCGACCTTCTTCTTCTGCTTGCCACCGCCAGATTTTGCTGGCTTGGATGATGGAGGGGGGGCCTTATCCTTCTTCGGCGCCTGCATTCATTCATAAAAATTAAACCAAATTATACATACAAGAGTGTATTAATATAACGGTGAAGAGAGAGGAAAGCAAAGAAGTACCATCTGAAGAGTAGAGAGGAAACGGCAGCGAGCTGCGAGCGGTGAAGAACTAAAATTACGAGAAAAAATGGTGGTGCGAAGAAGGCGAAAACCTAGTTTAGTATATATTACAGGCCATTTGCCTAACCTGAAAAAAACGACGACGTTTGTTTAACAAGGGTTACGAGGCCCAGCCCAAATATATCAGTTGATCAAGCCCACGTGATAATGATCCAAATTAAGCGTAAATTTAAAAATCAAAGTCATATATTAATTTTAAACACACATTCATAATTATTATTCATAATTATTTACATTTTTTGAACAAAATATCATTCTTATATATAAATTTACCAAATGGAATCTTAATATTCTTGTCAAACATTAATTTTTTATTCAACTTCCGTTCGGGAAGAATTTATAAATGGCTCGCTAGGAAAATTTGGAATGTCAAGCCTATGTTTGGAAAGAAGTTATAAAGGATTTAATTTATAAATGGATAAAAATAAATAGTGAATAAATAAATATAGCACTCGTTACGCCTCGCTAAACAAGGCTCCAGTCATCACCACGTGGCATCTCGTAAAACTTAGTACACCCACGTGACATCCACTTGTGAACGCCCACGTCACCAAAACTACTAAAAATGCAGTAAAGAGAAAATGCATGTTGAAGCTGCTGAAGCCCGCTTACAATGGACGAAGCCCTTGTTCAGAAGCCCCTTGTCCCTTAGGGCTTCAGATCGAAAACAATTCCTAAGGAGATCGACAATATATGATCGAAACGATTGACGTGACAACCTGCAAACGAGCAAGTCAAATCCTGACAACTTAGGGCGACTCCTAGATAATCAACTATAATTCAGGGTAAGTGGATGACGAGACGTCTCGATAGGTTGAATGAAGCCACATGCGCTTCATCCAGTGGTTATAATTTCAATTGTAATACCATAAATACCACCCATTGTACCAATTAAAGGAGTAATACAATAATAATTCAGGATACTAAGGCTTTGTTCTTGCCTCCTTTCTCTCTTAATCATTTCCCTTGTGTGTTTACGGTTGATTCTTATTCTTTGAGTTTCGATACTTGATCAATTCACCCTAGTGCTCGAACACTTTGTTTGCTCGCATTTCAAGGAGCAACATGTAGGTTGCCTCATTTCTACGTAAGCGTGAGTGTGTCTCGAATTTCTGTTGGTCTGTTTTTGAAAGTCAATAGATTGACGTCGTTTGTGAATACGTATAATAACCAAGTTTCACCACTTCCAAAAGCCGTCGGAATGATAATTTTTTCCAATCAGTTTCTCACCAAAAACCTGAGGTCAGCTACCAAAAAGGAAAAAATATGGCCAAAGGGTTTGAGGAAAAGGAAAAAAAGGCTCTGTTTGCTCCCCTTTTTGTCGGCCATATTGATCATTTTATTTTGACAATTCAATACCAAACGAAACAAAAAAACACATAGGAAGAAATGAAAATCAAGGGGGAGCCAAATCCTAAACTACAAGGCTTTTAAATTTATTTTATATATGTAAATACAAAGTTACCGTTTTACCCTTCTAAAATTAGTGAAAAAGGTAAAAAGAAGTTGGATAGTTACGATGAAACGTTATATGAAATTGGATGATTATAGTGAAAAAAATAAATAAATTTAATTTAATGACCACGGTGATACTAAATATAAATCTGGGAGACCATTGGTGGATTTAAGCCATTTTAAACACCTTCATAATTAATACTCATTATTATTTATATTTTTCGTGCATAATATTATTCTATTTTTATTTATAAATTTATCTGTTTGGCTATCATTATTTCAAATTTTAATAGTTAGAATATTAATTTTGTTTGGAGAATGGGAGGTTGAAAAGAAGAATTTTTTTTTCGATTTAAGTGTAATATTCTTTTATGAAAAATTTTGTGGTTGAAAAATATGATAGGAAAAAATAAAAATTAATTTAAACAATCATTTTTTTTTTAAATTCAATTTTGTTCTAGAAGAATTATAGATGTCTCACTAGGAAAATTTGGAATGTCAAGCCTATATTTGTAAAGAAGTTGTAAAACGGTTTAATTCATAAATTGATAAAAATAAATACTGAATAAATAGACATAGTATTTATGGGAATTGATCTACTTTGTTAGAAGAAATTATCTAGAGTTAGTGTCAGAAGATGAGTTGAAGGGAAATTATTGGATAAACAAATTAACTGTATTTTAAACTGTCCAATGACAGAGTACCATATGACATTAAGTAAATCATTATGTAAGTCGAATTTTGCTACACGTACACTATGGTATATACTTTAATTTACACTTTATCACATGGCATTACCCTATTGGACAATTTAAATTTTAAACAGTTTTTCCATTCAATTGACACTTGACAACAATGCAAGCATAAACCAAAATGTCAAAAATCAGTGTACAAATAGTAAAATTCATGTAAGCCTTGATGTATATGTAACAAGATTGTATTTATGGATTCACCGAAATGCGTGATTTCTAAAATTCAATTATCTATGAATGATTTAGCTTACGTTTGGATGCAATTTATAAATTGATTAAATTCAATGAAAGTCAAATATTAATTTCAACTACATATTCATAAATATTACTTATTATTATCTACATATTTTTGTTAGAACCACTAGTGGTCCTATTTATATATACAATTTTTCGGATAGATTCTGAATTTTATTTCTTATCCAAATTGATAATCATAATTAACAGTTAATAACTATGCTATTAATCCATAAAAAAATAAAGATAATTAACACTTAACTAGGCCGAGAAATCATTAGCAAACATAACAAAGAAAGGAAAAAAGAAAAAGAGAATATGAATTTTAAGAAAATTGGGCATATTGATAAATTTATGCAGAAGAAAATAGTGGAAAGACTATGGCTGTTTTTTTAAGTATTATTGTATTAGTAAGTTAACTGTTAGAATCATAAAAAATATAAATTAATTTAAGAAAAATGATTTTCTGAAACTTAATTAGTTCATTAATAATTAGGAGCACTTCTATAGTAGGTAAAACGAAATCTAAAATTGAATGGCATTTTTATTTTTATTTTTGAGTCTTACCCTTCTCCTCGAATTCGACTCAACTTCACGTCACTGATCTGGTAATACTTCGATCTTAATAATTGAGCATACAAATAAAATTTGTCGCATAATTATCAATGGTACCATTTTCATAATCAATGATGATTGACAAGACGAGAAGTTCACGGTGCAATATGCCCAGAAATTATTTATAATTGGTTTAAATAATAGTTAGATAAAAATAAGTGGCAGATAAATGTGCATCAATTGTAGATTCCATGAAATGTACAACTAAAAAGTGATTTGATCTAAATCGTTTACAATTTAAACAATTAAACATTTACGAAACTATAATGTATACATGCCTTCGAAATTCTCTAAAGTTGTTATGAAAACTTGTACGGACTGTACACTATTCATTTAAATTTTATGTTCTATACCCAACCTGTTATTACTCTTCCAAGTATTTTCATTTCAATGTGTGACATGATTTCATGAATTTGTAGCTCCTGCCAGCCTCCCAAGCTCCATAATGATGGTTAAAGTAGTGTGATTCACAAATTTCGCACCTCAAGTTCTATTCCTACACTTATACTCGATTGAATTCATTAATTAAATCAATTACCGATTTCAAGTTTTAAACAATGATATCTAGTTGAGTCCGTTCACTCTATCTCTACATGAATGCAAATAAGTCTCAACTGAACGCATTAAATCACTTAGTAGTTCAATTAATGACCATAACAATAGTAAACATGTATCTCTACCTTTTACCTGACTGTTGAATTTCATCACATGGTCTAGATTTATAACTTATAGCTCGATTTGTTACAATTCATAAATCATGATTTAGTGATCAAGTAATTCGAGCATTAAGAAAAAATGTATATTCAATAATCACTTTGTTTAAAAAAATTGACAAAAAGATGAACTTCTTGCACCAGAATTTCCTTTCTTCATCAGACCAAATTCTTGAAACCGTAGTCTTTATCTTCTCTATCTTTTTGTATGTTCTCGTTTGATCGTTTATTGTAGCCCCTTAATTTGAAGTGAAATATGTCTTTATATAATGTTCAAATCATTTCCAAGTCATGCCTTTAAAGATACTATAATACCCCCAAATCGAACATGTAAAAAAACTTGAAATTTTTGCACGGCACCAGCAAAAAGGCACGATAATCAATGGCCACGATTTGCTTACCCCGGTTAAACCGCAACAAATAGGTTATACGCCTGACCGCTGGTAAATCAAGATCAACTTTCAACCTTTTGCATTTTGATCTGTACTTCAAGTTTTTTGTATGGTTTTGGTCCCTTTTTTAAATCCTCATATTGATCCTGGAACTTTTAAAAATGTGCATGTTGGTCCCCAAACATCCATGATAATCCAAAATTGGTCCTTCTTAAGTTTGAAAGTGCACAAATTAGTCCTCAAACCTTTCATAAGTTTAATTTCATTTTGGAAAGTTTCGACTTTCCTTCAATTGCTGTCTTAATGCTTTCTGTCATTCTCATGCTATCTGGTTAGTATTCAATTGTTTTGAACCATTTTTAATTAAGCTTAAAATCTTCATTTTTGCTCCAAGTGCCTTCTAATTTGGATTTTATACCAAGTAAAAATTTGTTCAACTTGTAAATATAAATCATCTTTATAAGCACAAATAAACATGTAAAACATACTTATCCATAGGTACAATTGGATTTTCTCATCACAGCCTAACAAAAACGCACACTTTCGTAAATTGAGTGCAGATGAAACCTGAACTCAAGACTTCTCTGATATCATCTGGAACTATTCAATTTAAATGTTTAAACCTCATTTAAAATTTACTGTGAGTTTTCTAAAAAGAAAGAAAGTAAGAAATTGCAATGTGGACTTTAACTACGAAGGAATAAACTTAATGGTGGATTTTAACATTTCCCCCAAAAATACAATTAGGATTTCTTGGCCAATCACATTGGAAAATTTTTTTAGATGGCACAATGCATTGATTTAACATTTTACTTTATGTTTGACCTTCATTTACTAAAAATTTTCTTTTTAAAATTCATTTTTAATCATACACTTCGTCAAATTTTATCAAAATTT